TGTCTGTCTATCTGTCTATCTGTCTACTTGTCTGTCTGTCTGACTAATTGTCTGTCTGTCTGTCTGTCTGACTGTCTATCTATCTGTCTATCTATCTATATATCTGTCTGACTAATTGTCTGTCTGTCTGTCTATCTGTCTGTCTATCTATCTGTCTGTCTGTCTGTCTGTCTATCTATCTGTCTGTCTTTCTATCTGTCTGACTGTCTGTCTGTCTGTCTGACTGTCTGTCTGTCTGTCTGTCTGACTGTCTGTCTATCTGTCTGTCTGTCTGTTTGTCTGTCTGTCTGACTATCTGTCTGTCTGTTTGTCTGTCTGTCTATCTGTCTGTCTGTCTGTCTATCTATCTGTCTGTCTATCTGTCTACTTGTCTGTCTGTCTGACTAATTGTCTGTCTGTCTGTCTGTCTGTCTGACTGTCTGTCTGTCTATCTATCTGTCTGTCTGTCTATCTGTCTACTTGTCTGTCTGTCTGACTAATTGTCTGTCTGACTATCTGTCTGACTAATTGTCTGTCTGTCTGTCTGTCTGTCTATCTATCTGTCTGACTAATTGTCTGTCTGTCTGTCTGACTGTCTGTCTGTCTATCTATCTGTCTGTCTATCTGTCTACTTGTCTGTCTGTCTGACTAATTGTCTGTCTGTCTGTCTGTCTATCTATCTGTCTGTCTGTCTATATATCTTTCTGTCTATATGTCTATCTATCTATATGTCTATATATATCTGTCTGTCTATTTTATATGTCTGTCTGTTTATCTGTCTGTCTGTCTGTCTGTCTATGTAAAATGTTAAATGTAAGGCTTGTATTTTTGTTAAAGGACTCGTGTGAATTATTCTAAAAGTGTGTAAATCTATCCATATTGTCCATTTTAGATGACGTCCGATGTGTTTCTGATGTCAGTCCAGTGAGTGGAGGCTGGAGCGTTACGTGATCATGATATTGAAGCTCATACTCAACAGAACTCTACACAGCTCTTGATTGACATTAAGTGCCATACTGTAAACTGGGATTCTTTCTTTTATTAGTGAAACTAATCTCTCTCTCTCTGTGCTGAATGAGGGATGTTTGTTTTCTCCGTGTTTGTCCGCAGCTGCTCGTTTATGTGTCTTTTGATTAGATCACCAGTGTGAGTCAATATTCAGGACATCTTCTGTGTCTACAGCGTCTCTGTCCTGTGCTGTTCTGCATGCTGTCGCTGCACTGAGGCATTTCACAGTGTGTGTTCAGAGCCGTCGGCATCTTCGCTACACTCACACACACTCCTCAGAGTTAGACTTTCACCTCTCAGAGCCTTTCTCTCGCACACACACACACACACACAGTGTTTAACATCTACAGCCGTGAGTGTGACAGCGGGACAGATAGCAGATAAATCTAAAGGCCTCGGTAGGATTATGTTCCTAAGTGTGTTTCGGTTCTCCTGACAGCGTGTCCTAACCAGACACACACCACAAAGTTTTTAGTAACTAGTCATTTGTCTGTCCATGGAGAAAGTGAGAGTCGTTTCTCAGCGGTGTTGGTTCTGGAAGTGTTTTTCTGTTCAATTGCGCCACAGAAATAAGCTTCATAAGAAGTCTTTAATCGAGTATGAAACTAAGCAGTCGGGAAGGCACCAGAACGGATCCCGTGAAGCGTGTAAAACTACTGATAGTCGTTGGTTGTACGTGTAAAAACAATAGCAAAGTTAGCATTTTAATCAACAGTACTTTTTTTGTTAAGCTTTTACCATATGTCTTGGAGTATCGCAATAATATCGTACATTCTCAGAAAAAAAGGTACAAAAGCTGTCACTGGGGCTGTACCTTTTCAAAAGGTACACTTTTGTCCATTTTAGGTGCTAATGTACATTTTAGGGGCTAATAAGTACATGTTATGTGTTAATATGTACATTTTAGGTGTTAATATGTACATTTTAGGTGCTAATAAGTACATTTTAGGTGTTAATATGTACATTTTAGGTGCTAATAAGTACATTTTATGTGTTAATATGTACATTTTAGGTGCTAATTACATTTTATGTGTTAATATGTACATTTCAGAAGCTAATATGTCCATTTTAGGTCCAAATGTAGGTACTAATATGTACATTTTAGGTGCTAATATGTACCACTAAGGTACCAATATGCAGCCTTTGGATACAAAAGTTTACCTTTTGATAAGGTACAGCCCCAGTGACAGCTTTTGTACCTTTTTTTCTGAGAGTGTATCGTAAGTTCAGTATCGTGATGTGTATCGAATCGTGACATAAGGGTATCGTTACGCCCCTAGCCAAATATATTAGAAAGTGAGATTAGATTAGAAGTAAGGTTTGTTTTGCGAGTAGATTTTGGGTTATGGAGTGGTTGGTTCAAATAAATGCAAGATAGTCATATTCACGCTTATTTTAAATGCTTATTTCTTTCATGTTCATCAGGTCCAGCCCTTTCAACCCGATCGACTGAAGCGTTTACATGAAGTCTTTCCAATCCGATTGAGCCATCAAACTGATTATTTGGGCGGTCGCAGCTACTCGCACATCAACCGTCCACATTTGGCCTCTGAAGTACAGCAATATCTTGTGGTTATTATGAATCTGGCTCCAGGAATGTGATGTCATCCCGCCCCCCTCGCGTTGGGAATGCCCTCTCCCTGGGTCTCTTCCTTTTCCCAGCTTTCTGTCTCAGCAGGATATTTTCTCGCATTCATTTTAATTTTAGGCAACATGAATGAGGGTAATCAAGCTGGAATGCAGTGAAGTCACACACACACTGACCGCATCCCAATTAAATGAGGCCGAGAGATCATTATTGACCTCCTGCCCACCCCCTCTTCCACTTTTCTTTTCTTCCTGTGTCTTCTCCTCCCCTTTCTGTGCAACACGTTAGGCCTGAATAGAAGAGTAGAGTTGTGTTGTGTTGGAGTTGAGCGCTCGGTCTCTCACACACACACATTTTAGAGGGAAGCGTCCCCATGCTGTGTCACTGAAAACCCTCACAGTCTAAGCTGTCAATCAAACGCCGTTGCTCCCATATGCTGAACGTAAGGTATGACATCATCCCGCGCGGTACCAGCTCGCGAACGCGAAACTGTTTATAATCGGACCGGCCCAAACACTCGCTTATATCGAGCGCGACGTCGCCTCCATCGCTGTCGCCACAGAGATTCGTCAGTTTAATGCTGTTTACAAGGCTTACAGTGAAAGCTTCAGAAAGAATAAAGAGTAAATCTTCAAACAGGCAGCGCTAAACGAGCCCAGATTCTCGGCATCTGCTTCCAGTTAGAGACACTGAGCCAGAGAAACAAGAGATGAGTGACAACTCCGAGCTTTCATTCGCTTGTTTACTCTGACTGAACAACAGCGTTACTTTGAGCAAACTCAAATGAGTTAAAAGAAGTAATATTCACATTAGATGTTTACGTTTTCTGGACATATTGCCTATTTTTATATTTGTTTATTTAAAATATCGTATCGTTCAATCTCATCTGTCCATCTATCTATGTTTATGTCTGTCTGTCCATCCATGTATCTATATAACTCAACTAGTTTCTAGTTCTGTCTCCAGATACTCATATATTTGCAATAATTGGGTCTATATGGGTCTATTTTTATCATTTTAAAACTTGAATCTTTTATTTTTTTATTTTTAGTGAATTCTACTACGTCTGTTACGATACTAGTTTGAGGCAGTTGAGATGTATTCTTGATAATATTGGGAATTAATTTGCTAGAATGAAACTGATGGTTTAGCTACATCATTTCGTTTTACACTTATTATTTATTGCATAACAACAGAAGCTCACTCGTACAAATTTGAATATGAAAACCTAAATTCCAGGACGTTTATCTGTGTGTTCCCGTGCAGCGTCAGTGCGCCGCGCTCGTTCGCGCCCTCTAGCGGCCAATATGCGCCGTGACCCCGGCAGCTGAACCACAGAACCACAGAACCGCAGCCAGACAGTCTGCCACCGACACACACATCCACACATCCACAGACTGCTGGGGCCCTGCTTTACATGCCTCACACTCCTCATGTCATGAAGCCCACAGCTCACAGAGGGAGATCCCTCCAGCCTCTCCAATCACCACAGAGGTTTAAAATAACACGCTTATTAAGAATATTAACCAATTTGAGCATTATTAAATAGTTATTAAAAAATGCTCAAGTTTAATGATGAATCAATGTGCATTCAAATATTTAAAAAAAAATATTGTTAATGACTAAAGTTTTCGTGGATTTGAGGGTTTACTCGTTCACCTGTGATCCGCTCGGCTTCTGGATGATAGTGACGGTGGTGCTGAGTCTTCAGGCACCGTGAGAGGTGACACGTCTCTCTATGTGGCCTGTTGAAACACTTAATTGTGGCCGTTTATTTGGTGACCCCGAGAGTTCATGCGCGTTGGTTTCTGCCGGTGGCAAGAGCAAAGGTCGAAGCCGAATCCACAAACCTCCACACAAACCAGAGGCGCTTTAATGGACCAATTATTGGATTCCTAAGCACTTCACTTTGTTTTTCTTTTTCCTTGGGAAAAGTGATGTTGCCTGTGTGTGTGTGTGTGTGTGTGTGTGTGGCACAACTATGTCAGGCTGCTAAAAAAATGGCTTTATTAGGGGAAAGAAAAGCATTAAAATAATTATTCTTTAAAATACACAATATGCATCATGTGCCAAAGCCCCAGATGACCGATGCATCTAGCACAGAGTGTAATTTGAATGTGGTATGAATGAATTATAAGGTTTCCACTTGAACATTATTTGTGGAAGACCATCATAATAGGTGGGTTAAGTGTCACGGAATGTGCAAGATATGGAAAATCCCAAATGTGTGTTTTCTGGTTGCTGTTCTGTAGCAGCCTGTGATAAATCTAGAGCTGTTGTGGTGTGTGTGTGTTCTGCTGTCAGTCAGAGTGAGGGTTCTTGGTGAGCTGGCCCCGCGCGCACACACACACACACACGTGCGCGCGCTCTTGGAGTTGAGGGGGGGGGGGAGGGAATGGGAGGGGATATTTAACTTGGGAAAGAGAGGAGTTCTCCTCCAGACGCGCTCATTCTCCTCTGTCCCAGATCAGGACCAGGCGAGTTTTCGGACGGATTTGTGACACCGCGGGGATATGAAGAACATGCAGTAGATAATATTCGCGGGAACGCGTGACGTGTAAAGGACTGCGCGGAACTGTCAGGAGTCTGATTTTATACGGGACTAATGCCGAACTTGTTTTAGAAGAGCGCGGGGTGAGCTTCTGATTGCGCGTGGAGTTCTGCAGGATCTGCCCGCTCTGAGGAGAGACTCTCGTCCCGGGTCAGCAGCGCCGGTTCGGCGGGACGGACTGGAGCCTGTGCGCTCAGAGAGAGAGAGAGAGAGGGCGTAAAAATAACATTGGCTAAGACGCGCTCCATTCCGCGGGCGCGCTGACATTTCAAACGCCAGTTTGGGTGGCACCCGGCAATAGAACCCTAGCAGGCTGCAGAAACGGTGCCATCCCATCCTATCCCGTTGCCATGGTGACACGCCAACAGCTTCGCTAGAGGAAAGCCCGATGAGGATACGCTTTTGAACCTTTCGCACTTGGCACGCCTCACCTGAGCGAGTATCCCTGTGAAAGAAAGAAAGAAAGAAGAAGAAGAAAAAAAGAACAGCCCATGTCATTCCGGGCCACGCGGCCGTCTATTAAAAGATCTCGCTCGTGCTGTCGCTCGGACTATTTATGCACGAGGGCGCAGTGAGGGCCAACTCCACTCCGTAGACACACAGAAGACGAGTCATGGGCAGCATCACCCGCGCGCTCCCGCTACTACTGCTGCTCCTGTGCGCGCACGGCACCGCGGCCCAGCACTACCTGCGCCTGAGGCCCTCGCCCAGCGATACCCTGCCCGTCTCGGGTCTCATCGAGGAGCCCGACCCGGAGTACGACCCGCATGAGCAGGACCTCTCGGAGAAGACGCTGCGCAAGAAGCTGGGGAGCCACTTCGACCCCAACTTCATGTCCATCCACCTGCCCGCGCAGCTGAACTCCAGCGCGCCCCCGGACCTCCCGCGCATGCCCATGCCGCCCGAGCTCAAGAAGCTGGACCTCGCGGAGACGCCGTACGGCAGGCGCGTCAAGGTGGGCAAGAAGGCGCGGAGGAAGTTCCTGCAGTGGCTGTGGATGTACACGCACTGCCCGGTTTTGTACACCTGGAAGGACCTGGGCGCGCGCTTCTGGCCGCGCTACATCAAGGAGGGGAACTGCTTCAGCGAGCGCTCGTGCTCCTTCCCCGAGGGCATGTCCTGCAAGCCGGTCAAGTCGGTGACCAAGACCTTCCTGCGCTGGTACTGCCAGGGCTTCCTGAGGCAGAAGTTCTGCACGTGGATACCGGTGCAGTACCCGATCATCTCCGAGTGCAAGTGCTCGTGCTGAGCAGCGGGAGCTCGGGCGCATCGATTCTCAATGATTGCACTGTTTACCCACGGACAGGGATGTGTGACGCCACATAGCGAATCTATTTTTTTAAATATATATATATATGTATATATACACGTACTATATATGTATACATATATATATGTGTATGTGTGTGTGTGTAGCTTTTTAATTCAAAGTATATGACATATATGTACATATTTAAGTCAAGGGAAGAAGACGAAGAAGAATGCAGCTATTTTTATTAAAGGATCAGGACCATATATTCTCACGAGGAGCACTTCAGCTCGTGGTTATTTTTATGAAATTATTGCCAAGACGCAAGAGAGAACTTCACTTTCCTCACTGAACTCTATTTATAGAGACCGAAGATGAACACTACGTTGATGCCTATAGAAGTTTTGTACAAATATTAATATCAATAATGAAGATTTTTAAAAAAAAGAGGCTGGTCTGAAAATTATACACGTGAACTCAGCCTTTTTTTTCCTTTTGAAAATCATATAGTATTTTAGTAAAAAAAAAAAAAAACAAATGTGTACGTTTTATTTATTGTTTTAACTGTTGTGAGTATGTATAGATAAAGAGAAGAGAATAGAATATACCAGAAATTCTACTTGAAAACTTCTAAAAATGAATTTAAGAGAATAATAATAATAATAATAATAAACATGTCAATGTAAATGCCATGGTTTTAGCAATAAAATCTGTTAAACTTGGACTGAGTGTGAAGGATCTGAGAAATTAAAAACATTGAATGTTGCAGAATGAATGCAGATCGTCCTCTCCTGTGAAATAACGCTGTGGAAACACTCGACGCGGGCCGCATGGAAACGCTGTGCGTAAAAGCGCGCTGATGTTAACACAGCGCTAAAATATGATGCAGCCATTTTCAAACACTGTCATTGGTGAAATAGAGCAGGGAGAGCCAGCAGCTCCTGGCGTACAGCTTCTGGAAAGGGGAAGAGAGAGAGAGGGGAGGGGGGCGAGTCTGAGAGACAGAAATCTGAGCCCGATTCTTGTCCAAAAGTCTCGGCGTGAGAAACACTGCAACCCCTCTACAATGACTGTGAACTGATGCTGACGGTACCAGACTGTTAATTAGTCAGCAAACACACTGTCTGCGAGTTCAAGAGATGCGAGACTCGTAACAGCGCGACTTCACGCGCACAGCGGCTCTGCGTGTTCCCGAGGCGCGCGCCTGTCACGGCGAGGGAAAGTGCGTGAGGTTATTGTGACAGATACACTGCTGCTGCTGCTGCTGCTGCTGCTGTGTTTTGGCGCAGAGTGGGGCCAGTTGTCAGCTCTGTTTCTTGATGATGTCTAGAGCTTTTTGGAGGAGGCTGAGAGTGTGTGCGTGTGTGTGTGTGTGACGCGCCGGCGCCACTCGGCCGCGCACTCTGGCGAGCGCAGAATAGATTGAACAGTAACCCTTTCAGCCTGTGTGTGTGAAAGCCAATCCCCGACAAACTAGCCCTCAAAACACACAGCCGTCAGACTGGCGGAGCACTTCAGCCTTCTGTGAGGAGGGAGGGGGGGTGTATTCATCATTAAAAATATGACCCAAGCTGGAGTGAATCAGGGAGTTCTTTCAGACCGAAGTTAAACACAATGTTTTCTGTCCTTGGCAGAGGCCAATGAGATACCAAATGAAGTAAATGCTCTAATGTGCAGTGTGTGTGCTTGGAAACAAAAGCAAAACAACTCACTTATCTGCAGGAATTACTGAAGAACCGACGGAGAAATGTCATAATCAATCATCTGCGTGTCTCTATATAGGAGAAAGCTTGTTATTTGATTTGTTGGATGCTGTGTGTGTGTGTGTGTGCTGAGGGAGGGGGGGGGCGCTTCCATTAGTCTTGTGGGTGACATTCATACTGTGCTTTGGGGACCACCAACAGTTGCCTTTACTCATGGTGTGTGTGTGTGTGTGCGGTTACTACAGTCTGAGTGAGTCAAAGTATATGCACGTGGATCACAAAATCTGCTTCTTTTTTAATAGTGAGTGCAAGTGATATTGTTCTTAATTATTCTTATTCGTAAAACAGCTTTCCGAAGCAGAGCTGAGAATGTCCGCATCTTTATTTCCACATCCCAGATGACACAGCGACAAGGGAACTTCAAATTTGGAACATGGTAAATAAGATCTGATCTGAATCTGAATAAGATTTGAATCAAAGTGAATACATATTTTGCTGGTCGGAGCAAACAAATGCAAGCATGCATGATTATTTACAACATTTATTTTTCCATGACCTCACAGCATCACACTGAGTGTCACTGTAAAAAATGCTGGGTTGTTTCACCCCAAAGTTGGGTCAAATATGGACAAACCCAAATGTTGGGTTAAAAATGTCATTTCAGATTTTAACCCAACTTCAACTTTCACTTTCAACTGACATTTTTAACCCAACATTTGGGTTTGTCCATATTTGACCCAACTCTGGGTTAAGAAGAACAACCCAGCATTTTTTAGAGTGTATGCCTCAAAAGTAAATCAAATCACACTTAAGTTCACTCTCAGAAAATAATGTGTTGACCCCTAAAGGTTTATAGTAGTACCCCAGGGGAACATGCTATACTCTAAGGGACTAATATGCACCTTTTAGGAGTTGATTAAGAATGGTTTACCTCTAGTGATAAAAAATGATAAAAATCCACAATCAATTTGCAAGAAAAATGGTTCACAAAAAGTGCGTCCACACTTCCCTATTATATAGTACACTCTAAAAAATGCTGGGTTGTTTTAATCCAATTTTGGGTAAAATATGGACAAACCCAGCCATTGGGTTAAAAATGTAATTTAAAAATGTAACCCAATGACTGTTTGTCCATATTTTACCCAAAATTGAGTTAAAACAAACCCAGCAATTTTCAGAGTGTATTTGACGAGAGCAGTGTCTGGATTTACAGTGCTCATAAAAGAGTAGGGAAAAAGTACCAGGATGATCTACTTCTTCCGGTGAGAGTCTGAAGTGTGATACGATGGACACTTTGCTGTCCCATGAGGCCACGGGAGACGATCTGTGAAGTGAAGTAATCATGATTTAACATAAGTATGTACTCGAGAGAGCGTGATTTGGGACGCAGTCGTAGTGTTAGTGAATATGTCATGTGATTCTCTACACCTGTGGTTCCTCTGAACTGGAGGAGAAATGACTTCATCCAGCCTAAAAAAACAGCCTTGACTTCAGCAACACGAGAAACTGATCTGAAACGTAATGAAATACTTTTACACAGAAATTGCTATTGGAAACGCGAGTAACATTAAAGGAGTAGTTCACTTTTAAAAAAACTTTTGCTGATAATTTACTCACCCCCATGTCATCCAAGATGTCCATGTCTTTCTTTCTTCAGTCGAAAAGAAATTAAGGTTTTTGATGAAAGCATTCCAGGATTTTTCTCCATATAATGGACTTCAATGGGGACCAAACGGTTCAAGGACCAAATGAGAGTTTCAGTGCAAACTGCAAACTGTTCAAAGGGCTTTAAACGACACCAGACGATGAATAAGGGTCTTATCAAGCGAAACGATCACTCATTTTAAAAATAAATAACAAAGTTTGAGTTTTATAAGCTCAAATGCTCGCCTTGCTCTGTTCTGTGATGCGCGTTCGTGACTCTCCTGTTCGAACTCGTTCATCAAAATGAACAAATCTTTTTTCGAGTCATGACTCGAAGGGTCCTAGATAAGACCCTTATTCATCGTCTGGTGTCGTTTAAAGCCCTTTGAACAGTTTGCACTGAAACTGTCTTTTGGACCCCATTGAAGTCCATTATATGGAGAAAATCCTGGAATGTTTTCATCAAAAACCTTAATTTCTTTTCGACTGAAGAAAGAAAGACGTGGACATCTGAATGTCTGTTGAGGAGCATCATAATAAAGTGTTTGCCGATATTAAACAGACAGTTTATTAAAACTTGAATCACTGCTAGTCGACATGTGGTTGCAAAGTTACTGGAGTGAAGTGATGAATGATGAAGAAAGGAGACATCAGCAGTTCAGACAAGCAGATTGATCTTATTCAAAGTGTGTAAATAAATAATTGTAAGGTTCCTGTGCTGCAGGACAGGTGGAATCAAAACTTTATTCACATGTAGACCAGTACAATATTGACAAAGCATTGACTTAATCAGCCCATACAGTAACGGATGCTCTACAGACAGATCCACTGGAGAGAGAGAGTTTATCCTGGCTGTGATGAGGACGAGACGACGCGACGTGTGTCGACTCTTGCTGTGTGATATTTAGTGCTGCAACAGAAGCCGATCTCATGATCTCATGTCCAACGAGACGATTCAGACTATCCAGGGATCCTGTTGTGTTAGCAGGAGCAGAATAACCTTCATGTGGACGAGTACCCGAGAGAAAGATGAAGAACTCCAAAAATCAAACAAGTTTGGGGTCAGTAAGAACTTTTTTACTTTCATACAGCAAAGATGCATCAAAAGTGACATTAAAGACATTTACAATGTTAATTTGCTGTTCTTTTGGACTTTCTATTCTTAAAAAATAGTTTCAAATATTCACATGTTCTTTTAAATTGTAATAATACTGAAGTTCACAATATTATTGCTTTTATGTATTGTTGTTATATCTTGGTGAGCAGAAGAGACTTATTTCAAAAACATTTAAAAAAAAAGCTTTAAATGATTGTATGAAATATCTGCAAATCAGTGAAAAAATGATATTTTTGTCCTATAAAGGATTACCGTATATTCTAACGCTGTTGTTTGCATGGATGCTTTCCATAGGGTCCAAACTGTAATCATTTAATATAGGATTTGTGCATCTAATGCTCCAAAGTCAACTGTTCCCTATGAAGTGCTATCTATTATATCTGTGTCTGGCAGTCTCGTGTGCTCTCCATGACGAGCAGAAGCAGTTATGTGCATAATTCATAACTCTCACCACTTCTGTGACTTGAATGGTTAACATGTTTCATTTGCTCTTGATTCCTAAAGTTTATTGGTTGTCAGTGGCCGTCTATTTCCTTTATGCATGCATAGATCATGTTCTGCTTCATGAAGAGAACATTTCAAATGCTGCACTGCCCTCTACTGGCTAACCTACACTCTTAGAAGAAATGGTTCTATTTAGAACCAGAAATGGTTCCATCTCCCGCTTCATATATGAAACTGCAAAATGGTTCTATATAGAACCATTTTTTTTTGGGTAAAAGGTTCTATTGGCCAAGTATGGAACCCTTTTTTTAAGAGTGTATAGAACCTTTTAGGGGTTCCAAATACGTAGCGCTGAGAGAACCTTTTAAGGTTCTATATAGAACCTTTTCTTCTAAGAGTGTAGATTGGCACGATGCATTATAAACACTATAGCAGTTATCACTGTATTTATGTTAAATGATACGATTCATGAAGTGTGACAGAATCCCGTTATTAAACAGAATATTCAGGTCTATATTAAAGGCCACATGCCCATACATCATCCTGATAAATATAAGTTGTTGTTTTAAGGAATTTAGCATTCGATTGAAGTTTAAAAGGAAAGCGTAAATAATTACCGGTAGAGCATGAGACTGTAATATTTCTTCATTTCTTTCTTTATATCTTGCAGACATGGGCTATTGCTTGTAGATGCACAGGTGACGTCATCATATGGCAGCATATCGTCTCCTCCGTTCCCGACACTGTTGGAGTGATGAGGTGAGACTAATTTAACTAGCCTATAAATTATGCATAATTACATGAAACTACAAAATGTAACCTAACCCTAAATCAAACCCTATTCCTACATGTAGTTAATTGTTTTTACTCGGTACTTAAATGTATTTACACTGCAACACAGACACCTTAAAATAAACCGCGCGCGGTTTGCGCGTGTGTGTGTGAGAGAGAGATTTGGATGGATTTTTATGAACTGTGAGTATATGTTATATTGTAATGGATTTTCAGCAGATGATAAACAGTATATACAGTTCTAAAAGAAAAATATAAACAATCTACCAATCAATTAAATTGCACTGTAATTAATGAATTGTATATAATTATAAACCTAACACGAGACACTTTCTGTGAAGATCTGCCGTCATTGGCGACTTTTGTCCACATGCATGTCAGAGGGGTTTTAGCTTGTTATGCAACACATTTTATAAAGTTTGAGGAACCGAATGATTTATGACTCGAGGTGTTTGAGACCAGCAAATGAAAACAAACATTTGTGCAATCGCACTGACTCTTTAATCCCCTCTGTAATTTAGATATCTCACAGCTCTGGTGTTAACGGGTTTACTACTTCCCCCTCCCACATGATAATGAAAGGTTAACGCACTCATGAATGACTCAATCCTGAAGTGTAAGAACGCTAAACAGGCAGCAGGGGGCGCCATTGACTCTACACAGGTTCCACACTGTCCTCACACACACACACTCCTGTGAGCGGGGTTTCTGTCGATGGCACAGACAGATCGTCCTGAAAGGTTGGTATGAGTGTGTGAAGTGTTTGTGTGGGGGCAGGAGGAGACGGCTCTTTTATTTCTTGACCTCTCACACATGTGACACACTCATCAGAGTAAAACGCCACTGAACGGTGCCATAAATACCACAGGAATGTTGAGAAGCTTACACAGGCTTGAGAAACTCCCACACACGTCAACACACACACACACACACACACACATGGACGCTATTCATTGAGAAATTACTTTATTTTTCGGCACATTATGAAAAATATTTGGATTTTTGCTCTTGCCACATGCGTGATCCTAAATCTTCTGAGTGTGTGATCCGCACCAGTGGTACCAGTCCCCCTAAAGCCAACCACAGAAACCAGTTGATGTGCAATTATTCATTGTGTGTGACCATGAAAGCGTGTGAGAGTTTTCTCTCCTCAGCACACAGAACTATGAAATTAACTATAAAACAAAGTATTTGAATGTGAATTCCCCAGTTGTGTGTCCCTTCAGTGTGGTTGTGTTGAACGGAGACTTTTTTTTTCTTCCCCAGTTCCAATCATTTTTTCTTCAAGTTTTCTAGTCTGTGCCGCAGAGAAATATCAACAGAAGCGTGATGCTCCTGGAGGAATGGTGTCGTCTGAGGGTTGTGTTGCATAAATGAAAAATAGTTCTGCTCTCGGCTGATCAGATTGTGAGGAGAAGTTTCTGCTTTCTTCTTTTTTTGCAAGCCAGATTTATTAAAGGGATAATTCACCCCCAAAATAAACCCGTCATTCCATACATCTGATTTTCATTCTTCTGTCAAACACACAAGATGTTAGACAGAATCTCTAAGCTGCTATTTTCCATTAAATTAAAGGATTAGTTCACTTTTAAAAAACCTTTTGCTGATATTTACTCACCCCCATGTCATTCTTTCTTCAGTATAAAAGAAATTAAGGTTTTTGATGAAAACATTCCAGGATTTTTCTCCATATAATGGACTTCAATGGGGACCAAACGGTTCAAGGTCCAAATGAAAGTTTCAGTACAAACTGCAAACTGTTCAAAGGGCTTTAAATGATTCTAGACGATGAATAAGGGTCTTATCAAGATTTGTTCATTTTGATGAACGAGTCTGAACAGGAGAGTCACGAACGATCATCACAGAACAGAGCAAGGTTGAGCATTTGTGCTTATAAAACTTAAACTTTTTAATTTATTTTTTAAATAAGCGATCGTTTCGCTTGATAAGACCCTTATTCATCGTCTGGTGTCGTTTAAAGCCCTTTGAAGCTGCACTGAAACTGTCTTTTGGACCTTGAACCGTTTGGACCCCATTGAAGTCCATTATATGGAGAAAAACCTTAATTTCTTTTCAACTGAAGAAAGAAAGACGTGGACATCTTGGATGACATGGGGGTGAGTAAATTATCAGAAAAAGTTTTTTTTAGAAGTGAACTACTCCTTTAAATCATGTCATGTGAGGATATTCCCCTCCACAGCTTTAATCTGATGTGTGCGATGCAGAACCAATGACTTTTGGCTTTATTGATCATCTTCATCCTCTAATTTGAATATAAGATGAAAAGATATCTTCTGTCTTCCACAGATAAAAGTACATCATAGTAGGATTTTCATCAGTTGATATAGTTGAAATATTGGATAATATTTGCAGTTTCCTGGCGTTCTCACTGGTGTCCACAACACACGCACTCGGATCTGGAGGAAGGCCAGAATGATGGCGGTTCCACATCTCTTTAATGATGTCCTCTTCTGTGCTTTGAGGTGGTGTAATCACTGTTTTGGAAAGTTCCCGGGCTAGTATTTCCAGAACGCTGTCTTGATCTGTTGAGAATGTTCTCGTGATGAATGTTTCCTCAGAGATGCGTAGAATAATGTTAAATGTCTGAAATGTGCAAGTCGTTCTTTATCCTGATGAGAAGAGTATGTTGCTTGATAATTAATTCAAGAGTATGAAAACAAGAGAACTTTGTGTTGATCATGAGCTGCATGATGTTTGTTTTAATAAGTAAAGTGTATTTTATTTATTTATAAATATTATCACCTATTTGGGGTTCCAACACTAATATAGAAGGAGCTTGATCACGTGATGTTCACACAGGATGAGTGCGATTCATCCTCATGTGTTTTAGGTTCAGTTCAGGAATTCAGTGATGTATCACGATTTCCAACTCGGACGGTGCGTGGTGATTATAATAATTTATCTGTTTTGGACACACACACACACACACACTGCATCTGCCTTGAGTTTGTTCCGTGTTCTCATTACGCGCTCCATCTGGATTCTTCATCTCAAACACGCCGATTGTTTTCGAAGATTTACCGGAATCAAAAACTCTTGAATGACTCCATGAGATAGTATCGTGGAATAAATAAACATTAGTGTGGCAATTGAGCGCCGGAACATCAGCAGAGCAATAACGCGCATGCGCAAAGCCGTCTGAAGCTGCCAGAGGGTGCGATGGTTCGAGTCTGACCTCCTCACCCGCTTCACCACGCAAAGCAAAAGGTCGAGCGAGTAAAAGTTACTAGTTGTTTCTCAAGGATTTAAAACGTCTCAGTATTAAAGGGACCGTTCACCCAATGAAAAATATATCATCATTTACGGATCCACAAGTTGTTCCAAACCTCTATTTATTCATTTGTTTTTCCTGCTGAACACAAAAGGAGATGTTTTGGTGATCAGATGGTTGATGGGAACTATTGACCATAGTATTACAAAAATACTGTGGGGTTCATCAACTTTTTAGTCACCGATATTCTTCAAAATATCAAAATAACAAAGACATTCATACAGGTTTGAAATAACTTTGTGGATCAGTAAATGATGACAGAATAAAAAATGTGGGTGAACATCCCATTAGACAATTTAGTAAGGTATTTTCACTTAGTTGAAAAATAGACGCGTTAAGTCTGAGAAGATGAGTAACTTAGCTAGCCTACTATATAGGTTTTTATATCAATAAAATAAAAATAAAACGTTTTGTTTAAAATATAATTAACGGTTAGCTGACTGTGAATGTACAGCCAAAGTAGTTTGCGCGAGACGAACCTGACTGACTACGCCTTGAAAATTACATTTCACGTGTAATATTTCACAGATTCTCTGTAACGCCGAAATCCCACCTCTAAAAGTGTACAATTCGCACAGTGCTAGACCCCCGACCACACACGGCGTCTCCAAACCAAGTTACCGACCTAGACAGCACCATAGGTGCCTGTACATTCATGTGTGTGTGTTACAGGCGCGAAACGGTCGACAGGCGCATCTGAAGATGCTAATATTGCATCTCTTGTATGATAAATTGCTTGTTTATCGTTTATAAGTCGGGTAAAAACACATGTGAAACAAAAATCCTGTTCCTCAGCCACTATGATGCTCAAAAAAATGCAGTACGCGACTCTGCCACTGCCAGATGTAACCCACGACCACCCACTGGACGCGACTGAAAACAAAGTTTTCGAACAAAAAAACAGCATTTTTGTGGCATAATTGGCGAGCGTGAATCCACAAAATCCTGTGAGCTCATTTGACGGGCAAAGATGTTGCACTATTACCCAAAACACCACGCGCCCCCGCATATGATGCCCAAAAATGCCGTCAGGGTAGGCGGCGTACCAGGGTTTGAAACTGAGCCTCCCTCTCTAATGCAGTTTTGTGTCTGCAATTGTGTGTGTTTGAGGGGGGCTCGGTCGAGTTTCTCACCTTGGCTCTCTCTCCGTCACCCCTCCTCTCTCTCTCTCTCTCTCTCTCTCTCTCTCTCTCTCTCTCTCTCAGTGCGCGAGCGTGTGTCAGTGTGTGTCTGTCTCATGAACGGAACTGACCGCTGCTGGATCTGTGAGTAACATTCATTCAGCAACACACAACGGGACTAAACCAATCGATCTGGATTTATTTCCACACACCCGCTCTTGAATGAGGTTTAGAGGTTCAGACGGGATTCACAGATTCATTCAGGGTGAGTTATCAACACATCTCAAGTGCATCATGCATTTTGTGTATATGTAGTATAGTTAAGCATGTGATTTGTTAAGTCAGGTGAGTGATCACAACCAGCTAATTACATGGAGTGTTTTACATTAGGAAAATTCAGCTTACCATTGTTCCCCATACACACTACATACTCTTAGTGATTGTTAGCCTACTACAGTAAATCTTTGTTGGTGTGATATTAATTTAAACTTTATAAATTGATTTGACTCTTTTTCTGAATTTCAAATGCACTGGATGATATTTAATCAACCAGTGTTCATTAATTGTATTTCTATAGTTATGAATAATATAGATTAAACACTAATCAGTGCAGCCCTGTGCACGGCTCATATTCTCTGACAGGTGAGCGAGACTTTCTCTCTTTTTTTTAATGGTGATTTACCAGAGCGCTCCAAACCGGGTTTCCTTTCCCGGTCCACGAGCGATGCCAAGCAAAGCAAAGCAACTCTTCGCGAGTCTTCTTAGGTATGCGTGACACCGTCAAGATTTCTGCTTCCCCTGATGGACGTGGCACACACACGTTTGTGTGTGTGTGTGTTTGTGTGGATTCCTGTGATTTTTATTGCAGTGAAGCCCCTCTCTGGTTTCCCTGAGGTCACAGATGAACTGTAGAGTTAAACTTTGGGAAAAACATTTACGCCAGCTCGGTTTACTGGTCCTGCCCACTGCTGGCCCTCAAGAAAAGAGGAAAAAACCTGACGTTTCAAGAGCTGTCAAAACCAAAAGCTCTGTGTTTACCAGGAAAGTCAAAGGTGGTTTGATTCGTGACCAACTACATCTCTATGCCACCAAAACTCTGTCATCGTTTACTCGTCCTCATGTTGTGCAACACAAAAGGAGATATTTAGCACAATGTTTCTGCTCTTCTTTTCCATACAATAAGTCAAATCTACAAAAAGCTCAATGCAAGTCTTCTGAAACTTCACCAGAGGAACGGACTACGTCATTTTTTTTCATTGAAAAGCTTCCCTACTGTCATAGCTATTAAATCTTATTTGCATTCGCGCATATTTAAATGTTTATGAATACCATTTAGTTCTCACAGGTGAGGTCATGTGACGATTAATCACGATTAATCGCATCCAAAATAAAAGTTTGTGTTTATATAATATATGCGGGTGCACTGTGTATAATTATTTTCTATATATATAAATACACACACATGCATGTATATATAAGAAAAAAATATTATTTATATATAAAATATTTATATTTATATATGTAATATAAACTATATATACATGAAAATATTTCTTAAATATATACAAGCATGTGTGTTTATTTATATTTATAAAATAATTATACACAGTGCACCCACATATATTATATAAACAAAAACTTTTATTTTGGATGCGATTAATCGTTTGACAGCCCTAGTTAAAATGTTTTGGTTTAATGAAAAAGATGTCATTTTAATTCAGAAGACTTGGTCTAGAATACTTTATTATATAGGTTTTTTTTAGTCACTCATTGTATGAAAAGAGCAGCTTGGACATTCTCCTAAACATCTCCTTTTGTATCCCACAGAAGGACGATATTTAATTCCCACAATATGAGGGTGAGTAAATTCTACAAATTTCTATTTTTTGGGTGAGCTATTCCTTCCTTTAATTGGCACGTCTCATACTCTTCTGTGATGATGCACTGAATGCATATGATGTGTGCCGAGTGTGATTTTGGGCCCCACTCCTGTTTTAGCGTTATGTTCCTGTTCTCCTGTGTTTTAAGACATAATTGGGCCGTATTTTCAGCGCTGGGCAACATTAGAGCGTTTCAACTTCAGTGAAAGGTTTGGATCTGACACAGCCTTGGCTCGGTCCACCTTAGCAGCTAAAGTCAACATGGCCTATATTTCACTCTCCTCCTCTTCCAGCACAGGAAGCTTCATCTCTCTGTGTGTGTGTGTGTGTGTGTGTGTGTGTGTGTGCATGACACCCTTTTCTCTTTTGTCGCCAATAAAAAAAGCCCCTCCACTAACTTTAAGCTGAACCTACCTCTTGAGTCTTGATCTTTCAAGATAAAAGAGATCTAAAACTTTCCAATGTCCGACAGATTAATACATTTGTGCATAATGCATATGACCATGCATCCATATTTCATAATGTAAAGATTAAAATGTGGGAAACGTACACATGTAACCACAAAATGATGGTTTAAGTACACTAGAGTCGATCTTTAAATATTTTTGTGTGTATGAAGCGTGTGTGATGTGACCTCTTTAAGAGTTGTGCATGGCTCCTGCTTTTGTCTGTCTGTTTATGCATGTGATTTTAAGCATGTCAAGAGGTCAGGGGTCATAAAATAGCAGGTGACAGCCGTAAAAGTGTAATTGTGGGAGTGTGTGCGCTTGTAGTTCTATGCCGTGCAACTCCTGCGCTGTAACTTTTGGGGTGTGCCTAAACACACACACACACACACACACACACACACACACACAGAGAGAGTGTGTCCAGTCGGAGAGCGGCGTTAAATGATTCAATCTGTTGTAGCCTTGGCACCACTTTGTGTGTGTGTGTGTGTGTGTGAGTGGTGCACAAAATGTGTTTGTCAGTATTTGAACACTTCATAAAATTATTTGTGGTTTCCCTCCTGAGTTCAAAGCTGGTGATGCCTAGCGGTGAAATTTTTGTTGTCAAATGGAAAAAGATGTGTGTGTGTTTATGTGTGAGTTTGCATGTTATTTTACACACACATTTTTAAACCCCCAACACCACCCTAAACCACACACAAGTTTGCATATATATATATTTAAATGAGGACATACCTATTGTTTTTATATATATATTTTTTATAAATATACACCTCTGTTGTATTTGGACGTCTCGAAAGAAAGGTTTTGCAACCTCTGAACTGTGAAGCAACACTCGATGTATTACTGCACAGGTCCTCAAAAAATCTTCAAATTATTTTCAAATCAGCAGTCAATGCATGAGCCGGTGGTCATGTGTGTGTGTGTGTGGTTAAGGATCAGGTTCTGCTGTTTTAGTAAGGGCTGGGTTTGGTCCGTGTGTGTGAAGGAAGGGTCTGGTCGCGCTGGCTGCATTCTTTCACCAGGCAGATTTCTTTCCACTCGCACATTAGTAGTCATGCTTTTAACTTGTCTTTTTGCTGTATTATTATGACTTCCATCAGTTTTGCTTCCTATATTCTTCCAATAATGTCCTGTTGTTACTTTATTAAGTGATCAGATGCTCCATTTCACCTGCTGAATCACACCAGACCACAGGTGAAAAACAAATCATAGACTCGCATTTGTGGACGGACCCGAGACTCGATGAAACACAACAGAGCAGGTCTATAGTTATCAACACTAATGCGTGTAAAATCAGCACCGATCCTCCATTTTCTTTGGATTGATTCATGTTGACAGCAAACATGCCTCTCTGTCATATCTTGTTATTGCAATCTTTAAGTTCTTAAAGGAAAATTGCTATTGAAGAAGGGAGCACGCGTGATTATTCTCCTGATTAGTTTGTCCAGACCGATTCGTCTCTCTCTCAACATGAAACCGCACGCGCAACTCATTTTACTCCCATAATGTGATTATGTTTCCAAATGAAAGAGGATATTTAGTAAGAGAATTGTCTCCATCGGGAATTGACCGAGAAGTGGATTTCATTATTTATTTACTATTATAATTTTTTTGTATTTAATTTTGTATTTTTTTATTTATTTTAATTAAATCTTTTTTTGCGCTTTTTTCTTTTTTTAAATATTACTATTTATAGTATGTACATTTAATTTATTTTTACTAGATTTAGTTGAGTTTTATTTCCTGGTTTACTACTTCTACTTAAATTAAAAATAGAAACGGAAAATATTCATCTATTTTTTTTTTTTTGTAGAAATATTTAATATTTATATTTTATTTCACCTTTGTTTCAGTTAACTTTTTTTGTTTTTTTTTAAAATTTAGTTAACAATGATATCCCTGGATTTGAATGTGAGTTTGCTAAAGAAATGTTTAAATATTTACTTGGTTTTTATTAGTTAACATTATCCATCATGCAGCCAAGTTATTATAATTTGAATAATTTGAAGAACGATTATAAAGACAGATGTTATCTTAATACTGGGATTTAAGAAAGTATTTTAGCATGAAATAGTATAAATAGCATGAATTGTCATCTGAGCTTCTGCACTTGTGTTATGTGTGTGTGTGTGTGTGTATCAGTTCTGATAAATGCTCATAAACATAGACACTCTCTCTCACACACACACACACACACACACACACACACACTTGGTGGAGAGTCTCAACTCTCCATATTTAGTCATTCTGTAAGAGAAGCCATTCTTCATTATGATCCATCTCTCTCTCTCTCTCTCTCTCTCTCTCTCTCATATATATATTTAATCTCTACTTTGACGTCCTTCATCTTCAGCCACTATCTATCTTTTCCATCCTCCCACATATCGTCCCTTTCCTCAGTTCTGTCCATATTTGTCCCTCTTTTTGTCTCAAACCTTTCACCTATTTCTGTCTCATGCTCTTGATGTGTGTGTGTGTGTGTGTGTGAATCAGAGGCATGTGTATTTTTTCCTCCGAATCAGACAGATCCGTCAGTAAATGATGTTGTGGTGAGGACACACACACTGTGTAAACACAAAAAGACCACACAATCAGAATATGTGTGTATACATACAATGGGGAAACGTCTCTAAAACCGCACTGACATTATTTTTTCATTTAATTCAGGAAAATAAGTCTTTTTTTTATAAGTTTTAGGACTTGAAATTGTGAAATTGTAGCTTTTCTGTAGCTCAGAGTATATATATATATATATATATAGTAATTTATTTTGTCAATATTGTGTAAAAAAATATATAATTTTCTTATTTGTATTATCTGTAGGCCCTATATTGGGAATATATTGTGGGAAAAGTTACATTTTTGTCAAGTTACAACATTGTCAAATAATGCAGGAGAGCTTGATCATTAGGTTTTTCATGATGACATCACAGTCTTATTGTTTTTATGTCGATAACTTACATTTCTGAACTGAATTAGAAAAGACTGCATCAGTAGTGGTCTTAAACCCTTATACGTGTACGTCTGCGTGTTTATGCTAGAGTGATCGAGCGAGATAGGGGTGAGAGAGTTCGACTGACAGCGTGAGGGTCAAATAATGAGCTTAATTCTCTGTTGGGTGTTTGATGATGTGTGACTGAAGAGATGTGTGTGTGGAGAGAGAGAGATGTGTGAATATGGCAGAAACAGAGAGAAAAAAAGGATCATTTTAGGACTTGTGTCTTCAAATATCTAACAAATGCTCTACAATTTTCTTCACAAACACACTACTGTCAGGCTTTAGAGCTTCAGAATACTAATACTATCATTTGCTAGCCCAAAAACTCGAACAAGGACACAAAAGCACCATAAAAATGTAATTAAAGTAGCATTGTGGATTATTGATTAGTGAATCAACCGAATCATTGGAAAGATTCGACTCAAAAAGTTGATTCATGAATCGGACATGTCTGATACTCAACATTGTCAGAAGATTTGTTTCTCACACATAGCTATGTGCTTTTGTGTGCGCTTTTTGATGCCCGACAGCTTCATTGTAGTCGCATGGGAAGAGCAAGATGCAGTAACAGCTGTGACGTGAAATCCGAGTTTTCAGCACAATAATAATGATGAATTTCTCTGGCTTGCGTTGAAATGAAGTATAGTTTTGATAGAATCCAGCAGATGTGTATAACGTGCTTTTACAGTCATTATTTGAGGGTCCGGCCGTACCGTTGCAAAGGGGCCCGAGCACAGAGAGCCGCATTGATATTCACATCACACACACACACTGACAGGTCCTAAGAGAGGAGTTTTACTCTGGTTTCATGGTTCATTGCTCTTTGTAGTGCTGTAGAAGTGTGATTGGGCTCAGATACACGCTCATGTCAAACTGTTTCTCATTAACTCTAAACAGCGTGCGGATCTCATCAGATTCCCCCCCGGCAGATCATATGTGCGTCGACCTGCGGATCCGAGCATCAGGAGAGTTTGAGAGCATCCAGTTTTATACGTTCGGTGTCCGTCCGGATCATGGCTCGTGGGATGTGGAGCGGACTGTGACCGCAGGTTCCTCCAGCAGTTGAGGTAGTACGCTTTCTTTGTTTTAAAACACGATAAACATCACCATTTCATAGAAAAGCAGCAACATTATATTAAACGCTCTCATTCAAATCCCCAAACAGCCCCACAAAAACATTCGGAATCTCAGCGTGTGTTTACCAAGACCGAATTAACCCATCTGCGGTGTATTTCTGCATCCTAAAATGGCTCTTTGGGTTCAAATGCCTATTAATGAGTGTTTCTAAACACACTTGCACAAGCATCAGTGTTATTGTTGCTCATTCCTTTAACTCTTCCAGTTCAGTGTGTGCATCGTCCAGAAGTGATCACACTTGCTGAACCATAAAAGGTGCATTTCTAGACACTTTTGGTTTGGGTCTGTAAGCAACCACCCTAGAAACCGCGTATAGCAGAACACTAAAATCTCATTAGGACACCTTTGCGACGCTCTGCCGGCACACTAGCATCATGGCAGCACATTTTATAAATGATTGCAAATATTTCCAGCTGCAAAACTAGGATTTAAAACTACTAAACAACTTAAATATCAAGTACTTACTGTATTTGATTTACTGCAGTGAGTACAAACCAACCATCTAGCCCATATTATTAAGTGACAGCTTAATTTAGCTGAATACTGTACTCTGGGATATTTTTCTTGTTTATTTATTGATTTTTAAATGTAAGTTGCATTCAGTGTTGGGTGTAACTAATTACGTATTACTGTAATTTAATTACTTTTCCCTTGAAAATTAATTCTTAATTTATCTGTAATTTAATTACAGTTACTTCTGATGTAATTTAGATAAATACTGTGTATAGATCAATCCGATCTTACAGCGATTCGTATGCATTTTGTGAGGTGTCTAAATATTACGACCGCACTCGTACAAATTTGTATGAATTATTGTAAAATATGTATGAAAAAAGTGTGAAATGTCATGAGATCAGACATACAACAATAGTGGGTTTAACATCAAAATGTATTGTCTGATGCTAAAAAGTATGTTTTTATAATGTAATCTTCTCCACCTTGGTCAGTTTAAGGATAATTCGTGCAATTTTATAGTATTTATTTGAAAGAATTAAAACAGATTCATGTCTATCCTTGTATTATTCAGCTGGTTGAGATTGATATGGGATTTTGAAAGTAATTAGTAATTAAAAGTAATTAAATGCTTTTTAGAGAGAGTAATTAGTACAGTACTCTAATTACACTGTTGAAGAGGTAATTAGTAACTAGTAATTAATTACTTTTTTTAGAGTAACTTACCCAACACTGGTTGCATTACATAAAGGTTAAGCTCCATTTATTGGAAAAATAAGGCTCTGTTTGGTATTAACAGGCCTCTTTAATGCTGTGGTATCATTGTAATACCATTCATTTTTGGACATGGTCGTTTAGAGGACTATATAAGTCTTTACGATGAGTGAAAATAAGTGATTTACTGAGTTTAGTTTGATTTATTAACATTGTGTTGCCGTTCCGTTTCCAGACGCACACTGCCGAGGGTTGATTCCAGGAAAGTCGTCTATCTACTGGACGTTTTCTGGCTGGAGTTGTCGTTCTGAGATATCACACGTACGCCAGACCCCGCCAGCCCGAGGAGACGCGACGACCATATTTGTTTATTTGACTTCCCCCTCTCGAACCCATCCATCTGGATACGCTTCTCCCCATCCCATATTCATCATTCTCTCCCGCGGCATCATGTGGAGTTTAAGGAACTTGCTTTCTCTGCTAACTGTGTTTCAAGCCTCGAGCCACAGTCCCAACCCATTCGCCGGGCCTCAAGCGACACCGACGGACCCCTGCTACGACGAGACGGGCGCCGCCCGCCGATGTATCCCCGAGTTCATCAACGCGGCGTTCGGTCAGGAGGTCGGCGTGTCGAGTGTCTGCGGGCGGCCGGCGTCTCGCTCGTGCAGTTTCGTTGAACGCGACGACCGTCCCGCCGTGCGCTCGTGTCAAGTCTGCGACGCATCGGACCCTCGCAACGCACACCCTCCCAACTACCTCACCGACCTAAACTCGGCCCACAACCTCACGTGCTGGCAGTCGGAGAACCTGCAGGGCTCGCCGCTCAACGTGACGCTCACACTGTCGCTCGGGAAGAAGTTTGAAATCACGTACGTCAGCCTGCAGTTCTGTTCCCCTCGTCCCGAATCCCTGGCCATCTATAAGAGCATGGACTACGGCCGCACTTGGACGCCCTACCAGTTCTACTCGTCGCAATGCCGTCGCATGTACAACCGACCCAACAAAGCGGCGATCACCAAGCAGAACGAGCAGGAGGCTTTGTGCACGGACGGACACACTGACCTCTACCCGCTTTCCGGCGGCCTTATCGCTTTCAGCACGTTAGACGGACGCCCGTCAGGGAAGGACTTCGACTCGAGTCCCGTTCTACAGGACTGGGTTACGGTCACCGATATCCGTGTGGTCTTCAGTCGCCCGCATCACCCCAGAGCGCTGCCCATGTCGGGACGCGAGAGCGAAGACCCGCTCGGGCCGCCCGCTACGTATTATTACGCGGTTGGCGACTTCCAAGTGGGCGGGAGGTGTAAATGTAACGGCCACGCCTCCAGGTGTGTGCGGGAGAAGGAAGGAAAGCTGGTGTGCGAATGCAAACACAACACAGAGGGTCCGGAGTGTGACCGCTGCAAACCGTTTCACTACGACCGGCCTTGGCAACGCGCCACCGCGAAAGAAGCCAACGAGTGTTTACGTAAGTTTAAATGTTGTTCAATCCTCATTAGCTATTCCAAAACTTTGTTGACCACAGGCATCCTGAACGCGCCTAGTAAGATTAGTCAAGTTTTATATGATGCAGATTGTGTCATTATTAAGCTCAATTAGTCCAAAATAGTTTTGAATATTAAAGGAGTAGTTCACTTTTGAAAAAACTTTTGCTGATAATTTACTCGCCCCCATGTCATCCAAGATGTCCATGTCTTTCTTTCCTCAGTCGCAAAGAAATGAAGGTTTTTGGTGAAAGCATTCCAGGATTTTCTCCATATAATGGACTTCAATGGGGTCCAAACGGTTCAAGGTCCAAATGAGAGTTTCAGTGCAGCTTCAAAGGGCTTTAAACGACACCAGGCGATGAATAAGGGTCTTATCATGCGAAACGATCGGTTATTTCAAAACTTATTCCAAAAATGTAACTTTTCTAAGGACAAATGCTAGCCTTGCTCTATTCTGTGAGGCGCGTTTGTAACGTCGCGTAATACGTAATTACGTTCAAAAGGTCACGGGCGACGTAGCCGGAAGTATAGAGTCAGTGTTTACAAGTTGAACGCACGTATAAACTAACTCAAACGCCGTTTACAAAAAAAGGAATTAAAAGGTAAAACAACGATGTCGGACGATTTTGATTCTGTACTTCCGGCTACGTCGCCCGTGACCTTTTGAACGTAATTACGTATTACGTGACGTTACAAACGCGCCTCACAGAATAGAGCAAGGCTGGCATTTGTCCTTAGAAAAGTTACATTTTTGGAATAAGTTTTGAAATAACCGATCGTTTCGCTTGATAAGACCCTTATTCATCGTCTGGTGTCGTTTAAAGACATTTGAAGCTGCACTGAAACTGTTATTAACGGTCTTTTGGACCTTCGAGCGTCTGGTTCCCATTGAAGTCCATTATATGGAGAAAAATCCTGGAATGTTTTCATCAAAAACCTTAATTTCTTTTCGACTGAAGAAAGAAAGATGTGGACATCTTGGATGACATGGGGGTGAGTAAATTATCAGCAAAAGTTTTTTCAAAAGTGAACTACTCCTTTAAGTGTCTTTTTGAACTTCAACTTATAGCGATAACGATAAACATATTCTCATACGTCCACACCACAGATATAACGCTAACGACACAGAGGAACGATTCAGGGGTGCGTTTCCCGAAAGCATCGTTAGCCAACTATGTTCGTCGTTACCAATAGAGTTCAATGGAAATTGCGACCAACTTGCGACCATAGTTGGCTAACGATGCTTTCGGGAAACGCACCCCTGAACCATTTTTTTCAGCTGATGAATGATAAAAATAGTGACAGCCAATCAGAATCCACTCGGCTAGCCTATTTTTAGGCACTGTGAGTTTTAAAATGGAAAAATATCGAAACTCTTAGGTCATTTTTTTTTTTTTTTTTTTGAGAAATGCTAATAGTCTTGTCCACTTCAATGATGTATGCTAAGCTATGCTAAAAGTGGTACCGCCAGAACCGGAGATCGGCTGATCAATAACGGTAAAACAGAGTTGTACAATGAGCCTATTTCCAAAAAAAAGTGGAGTATCCCTTTAATGAGCTAGTTTTTCTGTTTGTAACATCAAGTCAACAGATAATAACACTGAATTTATGAAATTATCATTCCACACTGTTAATACTCCAATAAGACCCTCCCTAAGAGCTAGAGCATTTAAAGCAGCAGACACGCTATAATAAGCTTTATCGTGCGTTGGTGTGGACACTAATGTAGTTATCAGTATCTTTATAGCTATATAGCATAGAATGATTTGTACTATCTTCAAATGCAGTTCAGCAAACTCAAGCGTCCAAACTACTGAAAAAAATTGTGATTATTGAAATCATGACTCACTAAAGTTTGACTGTATAGTAAGTAACGATGTGATTCTCTTAAGTACACATTGTCTATATTTTTTGCTACATTTTAGTATTGAATGAAATGTTATGCTACATATCACTCGGCCAATTAAATTCGAGGACTGGAGCAGTTAATCAGCATTTTATTCAATACCTGCCGTTCTGAATGGACTTTCCCACTGGCTTTCCTCTGTGCTGCACTTTAGATTTGCATTAAATTTGGCCAAAATAAGGTCCAGTGTCTAAAGCAGCTCGCTACATGTGAAACAGAGCTACAGTGTGGTGTTATGAAACGATCACTTGGCAAAAGCGTGAAGGTTAATTCTCATCGCATCTCACGTCTCAACTTGATTTATTGGGTTTGGATTACTTCAGGTGTATCTGTGTTAATTCTGGATGCATTCCACTGAATACATACAGACTGACACACGAGTGCAGGACAGAGATGTGTGTTTGCATATGTCTGTCTTGCAGTATGTTAATCTTTACATAAACCTCTTCTCTCAGGACATGTCTGAACATCGACGCTCAGAGCAGAACGCTGCTGACAGCAGAATGAGAGTACTAGGCGTTTCACACCGCACGCGAAAACAGCGTTTATTTCTTTTGGCGGCCATATTAACACTGAATTCACACCGGCTGAGAAGCGCCTTGTAGCAAAACGCATTTTTGATCGATTTATCAACTTTTGCAATTTTATAAAGCAACACACACACTTTCTGTTCAGTGAATTTGACTAAATCCAGATGATTAAAGCAGTTTATAGCTACAGCTTATGAAAAAATGCCATATAGCTAAGTACAGTGTTGCATAAGTTGTCATCAGTGTAATCAAATGACTTATTACTAATTACTTTCTAAATCCAATATCAATCTCGACCAGTTGAACAATACTAGGAAAGGCATGAAACTACTTTTTTAATTCTTACAAATAAATAATGCAAAATTTCATAAATTGTTCTAATTTTTTTTTGAAACACAAAAGCTTATAAAGGGTACAATAAAATGTACATTTAACATTATATGTTAACTTTTTATACTATTGTTTTATATAGAATTGTTTTATATTCTCTCTCTATATATATATATTTCAGTATTTAATGTAATTACATCAGAAGGAACTGCAATTAAATGACAACGTACCATGTAAGTACCACACAATACACTGTAGTTTTTTAGGGATTCTTCTAGCTAATATCTATTGATGTACATGCATATATCCATATGTTGAAGATCAGTAGCAGCTGCAGATATTTATCTTATCTTATCAGACAGCAGTATTATTGCTGAACGAAAAATTAGCTGAATAGTGTAAATGCATTAATCTTTGTGTCAGGAGAGATATATCGGGTCCAAATGCTCCAGTCAGGCAGTCCTGACACTCCATTAGTATCTCTAATGTCTCTCATAAATCTCTCTGCCTCGTCTAATTCTTCCTGTCCACTCTGTCGGATGAGAGTTTGCCGATAGTTTCGTGTAATGAAACCCAGAATTTCTCTCTGCGTTTTCCTCTCACCTCTCGCTCTGCCTCTTCTCATGCCATCTGCTCTGGTGTGGTGGCCCCGTCTCCAAATGACCCCCAGTACACGCTCGACTCCCTCGTTTTCTCGCCTCAACACACGCCAAGGACTCCCGCAGATTTTGTGCCCGACCTGGCAGTGGTTCAGTGTGATCTCGTTAAAATCATCCCCCATTCAGCTGAGAGAACAAGGACAAAGAGATTAGCAGAGGTATAATGGACTAATGAGTGGCGGACCACAAATGGAGGGTCTGACAGTTATATTAAGTTAAACTATGTAGCAGTTCCCTATAGGACTCGGTGATATCATGGCCAAAAATATTTATTATCACACGTTTTTTTCCATATGATATCGATATTTATCACGATATTCATTTGCCATTAATGGGGAACATACTTGTTAGACCTTGAAAATGAATGTAAACATGTAAACTTGTTTGTTCACTATTAAACTCAGCTGCCTTTTAATTTAAGGGGAGGGTAATTCTGTGTTTTGAGATTTAATACAAATTCATAGAAATTAAACAAATTTAATAAAGCTTTTAAAATGTACATTTACATAGCTACACATTTCTTTTTTGTCAAATTATATGCTACACAAAAAAACATGGATGAAAAAAATACTTTGTTGTATGATATTCCTTAGAATAATAGTATTATTATTAATTCGTATATTTTAGTATACAGTTACAGACAGTAGTGATTTATTTATTGTATAATTTCTTGAAGTTAAACCGAACTTTTATTTTGACGGTTTATCCGTGAAAATCAGTTTCAGTGTGTATTTGACGGCAGTTTCCTCTTAAATTAATCGATGAGGCTCGTGAAGTGACTTTCAGAAGCTTCAGATGAAGTGTGTGTGTTTCATGGCCTCATACTGAGACGACAGATGCTGAAAACACCGTAAGCTTCATATGTGTGTGAGTTTGTGTAGTACTAGTTAACGTTAACTTACCTGACGAAATTGCTCCGTTCATTAATTCAGTGATGGATCATATCAGACTCAGATCTATATATAGTTATATCTATATCGTATAATATCGTTGAACATAATTATTCCGCTGAAATTAACCAAATGACTTGAAAAAAAAGATGAATTCGTTTTGATTAACGATGTTAGACGATTCTAATATCGAAAACTGTAAAGATTATTTGACCTCGTCTGTGTCGTTCGTTCTTTTGTCACGTGACCGCTTCCTTTCTCCGTATCTTACAACACTACGATAGTATTATTGACCCTAATAATAGTTGTATTATATTTATTATACGGATAAAGTTTAAAGCATTGGCCATCTCTTTATTACGACATTCAATGTTATGGAATAGAATCATCATGATTGAAATTTACACATTTATAAATGGTAAGGAATAAGCTACAATTTGAGACCGGAAACGCATCACATGACTGTAAGAAAAAATAATAATAATAATGAATAACTAACGTTATGCGCTTAAGGAAGTTGGAAATTATCATATCCATTTCGGCTCTCAAGTCATGTAACTAATGAACGAACCGACGACTCAGGCCCTGTCCCAAATAACACCCATACACTTGAGATCTTGTGGACTTAAAATGGCCGCCAAGGACGCTTGTGCGTTGAGTCCACAA